ACTGTGCAGGCACACAGAAGCAGCAGCACTAGGGGGAGTTTGGGGGGCTATGGCCCCCTCCGAGTCCAGGTGCCTCTGCGCACAGTTTGCAGCAGCTCTGACCCCCACTCATGCCCCCCCACCAGGAAAAGGCTCATGCTCCAGGACACCAAGACAGTGGCTGCTGCCCCCATCAAGAGTCCTGTCCCCTTGCTGCTCCAGCAGATGGCTGGAGGCGCAGCCAAAGTCTAACCAGCATGGCCTTAGGTGGGGGGCAGAGAGAGGAGTTATCCCCCCTCCCTGTCCCCTCTGTTCCCAGGGCTTTTGTGGGAGCAGGCTACCAGAGGCCCCAGGACTTGGTGAGAGCATGCTACTAGTGGCCAATAAAGGGGAGAGATGCCCTGCTTAAAATCAGAATAATAGATCAGGTCAGTGTGAGGCAACCTGATGATAAACAGGGTGAAGTGAGACACCTACAGACTCATTCTAGTATTCTGAGGGCAGCCTCCCCAAATGTATACAAATTTGCCATCAAGTCTGGCAAGAGAGATCAGGGTGGTACCCCTGGGATGACTGAATGAGAAATGGGATTAGTGTTGCTGTTAGGGAGTGCCACAGCCGCTGATGTGAGGGGATCCTGTTATAGCACCCCACACTGTGCAGGGTCCCCAGTTCCCAAATCACCACCTTCAGCCCACCTTAGGAGGCCACGCCGGCCAGCATCTGGCCACACCCCCACCGCTACAGCAGCAAGGGGGAAGCACCCGGCGGACCCCAGCTTGGGTCCATGCAGGTGGGACAGGGAGGGGGGATTTAAACCCTTCCCTGGCCAGTTCATTCCAGACTACTTCCAGGGCTGGCCGCACACCCCCAGCACAGCTTCCTTGCAGCTGAGGTTGTGCTTTAGTACCCCCCGGCTCCTGCCGTGAGTGACTGCCAGCATATGCCTGCATTTCCTCAGTCCAGAGGGAATGTCTGTACACTTGAAAATTGGTTCAACCTAGGCAGGTTAGACTAACCTGCAAAGACTGAATTAATTTAGGCTCCAACTTTTTGAACATTTGTCCCTAGCCAGAGAGAGACACATTAGTCTCTGCCTCCCCACACTGACTCAGGAAATTAAGGATGCAGTCGATAAGTATCAAACCTACAATGAATCTGAAAAGCAAACCACCCAAGGAGATACCTCCACTACATTGGATTCCCATCAAACCATGCTACATGGACCTTTTCACTATAAATAACCAAGGCTACCTTATGCTTGTGGACTGTTAACTTTCAGGATGCTCTCAAGATTCAAGGTGTTATTGTAATACCTGTCACTGCAATTTTTGAAAAGGCTTTAGTAGAGATGTAATAGCCAGAATAATTGTTTCAGAGAGACAGGCCTTTCTTTTTCAAGCAGCAAGGAAAGTCTTAGACACATGAGTTTTCAACAGAATGATCTGGATTGCTTCAGTGAGGTGACTCATGGGAATAGCCCTTTATCACTGCATTATGGGTGAGCAAAGGGACCTGTCATGCTCAGCTAAATGTATACCAAAGGATAGACAGACCCCATCCCACAGAGATTACAATTTAATGAGATCGTGCAGGCACCAATTGGGGGCAGGGATGAAATGTATAGGCATAGCTGAAGCTGAACAGAAAAACACAAGGAAGGCAGGAGGAGGGGGAGAAGAAGCAGGAAGGAAAGAGGAGAGTAGGGAAGGCACTGGAAGTCAGATTGAGGTAAAGGGACCATGTGGGAGAAAATGAAAGGGGATGAAGAAAAGAGCCAATCAGAATGGGGGAAAGGATGTGTGACATCTGAGAGAGCAGTCCGAAGACATCCCAGTGCCCGAAGATCCCTGCTGGAGCAATCCCTGAGCCTGCACCCCTAGTTGGAGTTTTAATGGTTCCTCTATGGAATTCGTTTCTCTTCAGAGACTCATGTCCCCAAGCAAGAGGTGCATGTGGGCTTTAGAGCACCTTGAAAGCCAGCATGGTTACCCTGAACAGTTCTGAGGCCAGGGATAGGTGACAGGGACTGGACCTATCCTCTTGCAGTGAATTTGGGGATTGCTGACTTCAGTGACACTGCTCATATGAGGAACTGCTCACCAATATGAGAAGGGGGTCCAGAATCTAAGTCACATGTCCAATGAGATATCCAATTGCTGGCTGACACTAGATTCACCCAGGATGCTCCAGAGACATCTGACCTCAGGGGCCTCAGTGCGTTATGAATGGCACTCCATTGTAAATGAGTAGCCTCCCTGATGCAGTAGGACTATGTAAATTATTGTGAGGAAAGAGATTAGGCTATTAAATTAGTCCTATAATAACAGCTTTAACAATATTTAACCAGGCTTCCCAACCAGGTCCCCACTTACTACTCTTCTCACCACCTCAGATACAGTGAAAAACGTATTTATTTTACATCTGCACTGTTGCATATGCTATGTATTGGGAAATGTTTTAAACAAAAGGTAACCATGTTTTAAAATATAATACTTTTTGCAAGAGGCTGAATGCTAACATTAGTAACACTTACTTTTTTGGACATTCAGTTAATCACAGGTGTAGAGAGGGAACAGTTGCCCAGAGCCTGGGTAAAAAGAGATATTGCACCAGTTATATTTAAACTTGTTTAAAACCCTGCTAAGTTATATGACGAAAACTCCTGCATGAACCTTCTTATATTGCTTTCATCTTGGTATTACTTGTTTGGCTAGGAAATGTATATAGACAGTGACTTGAGATAGCAAATGTGCCATTTAAAACCTCTGCTAATCCAATTCAAGAATCTGAGAAAGATGCACCAGTTTAACTAAAGCTCTATAAAGTAATCCTGCCAGTTGGAACAGCCCAGACTGCATGAAGACTAGGCCTGAATGCTATTTTCCAAATGGTCTTTCCTGCCAGTCTGATGATGAAATAATGAAATTCTGCACAGAGTAAACCCCCAGGGGTTGCTGCACATCTGATTCAGTAACTTTGGTGCCGTCTATACCAAACAGGCTGTTTACACTGGGCTTCCACAGAGCTCCAGGAAGCCCAAAGGCACCAGTAGAGTGAGGTTCAGGAGCAGCTTTCCAATAGCAGCAAGGCCTAGAAATGGAACTGATGATCATCAAACTAGATCTCTTGGAGCATAAAACATCAGCTGGGACATCAGCTCTCCCCAAGGCTCCCAGAGAAAACCCCGTGAAGTGCAATTCCACAGAGACACACTCTGAAGAACTAATTCAGGGCATAAACATACAACACATTTACACAAGTATAATTTATGTTTGTTTTGTATACCAGCATAACTTACACTAGGATTCTGAGTGGACAGACAACCAAGACTAGGTGGCGAAGAAGCACAAAACAGCAAACAGCTGCCCTGTGATGGAAGTGGACACACAACCCGTACCTTGGTTTAACATACACCAGTGTATTTTTACTACATGTTTTTGTGGGTAACTTTACTTTTGCTTTTAGGCACTTACACCACTGGAGAAGTTTTCATATTGTGTGCCTGCTCCTTGCTTACATGCAAAGGCAGATTAAACAGCTGTAAACATGCTGTATGTCCAAACCCTTGACCTGTTTAAAGATTCCAGCCTTCATTCTTACCACTCTCTGGTAAAGGAATTCACTTCAGAAAATCATTATTATCTTTGAAAGAAACTTATAACAAAGCCAGACAAAAAAGAGTCGGGTAGGGCGCTGCTAAAAAAAAAAAAGAGAGAGAAAAAAAAAGAACCATTTTCACACGAAAGAAAGCAGCTAGCCGCCATCTGTTTCTGCTCTACGGCATGCAGCACACAGTTGTAACCCATCAAGCAGTTCTCTTGAATTGTGCTCATTATCACTATAATCAGAGTTCCAGGCAGCGTGTTGTCAGGATGATATTTATGACACAAGCTTCTACTGATCCAGATATGTGCAGCACAATGAACAGAATGGCACCATCTTGCCTACTGCTCCCCTCTTGGCATTCATTTTGTTCTCACCGCCTGGTTTGAGAAGAGGCTTGATGACATTATGGCTGAATGTGGTTTATGACTGGATGCTGTAACAGAACTTGCAACAAATTTATCACTGGGAACAAGTGTCTCCTGCTAATAATGCAAATGGCAGATGTCCAGATCTATTGTTTTAGGAATCTCAGCAGTTAACTTTATCAGTTACAAGGTGCTGAGCATGATAGCATTGTCTAGGCATATGCCACTGTCACAAGTATTTTTGTCTTCTGTGTTGCTCATGTTCAGTAGGTTGGGTCAGATGGATGGTGATTATGACAGGTGACTGAGGACCTAATCCAAAATCCATGCAAGTTAATGAAAAAACTCCCATTGATGGTGGAGGGCTTTTTGATCACTCACCTGTTGATAGGAAAGATTTGGAATGATGCGTATGCTAAAATGCTAAACCTGGAACTGCAAGTAGTTGGCCCCATCAGCTTGGCTTTTTCTTTGTAAGAGATGGATTGCCTAATTCAGGAGTAGCTTTGTTAATGTGAGATTTACCCAATAGCAATGCACTTTCAAGAAGCTGGGATACGCAAGACTGCTCCAATAATCACATAATGCTGCCAGTTCAATTGTTAGGGCTTGAGTGCTGGACAAGCTACTGTATCATGAATTGAAGAAGAGTGAGACTGCTTGGGGAAATTATCCACATTCCATTTATAAATTCAGGTTCTGAAAGCAGCATATCATTGAATGCCTCAGTGCATGTCAAGTCAGCCATACGCTATTAGGAGTACATCATGTTTCTCCCAGTGCAGTGATAATGGAGAAATCTTCAACCTTCATGTAAGTAAAAGCATGTGAGGTCAGTGTGATTGATGAGGGCCACCTAGGGGAAGTGGTCCAGCCACTTGTCAGCAGAGAGAGGCTCTGAAATGTCCTCAGAAACAGAACAAAAGGTGTCCATACTGGGTCCACAGCACTCCTCAGAGCACCAGTCTGCCACCCAGTCCCACACCACACATGCCAAATCCCAGAAATAAGGTAGTGAAGACATCCCAAGGCTACTGCACTACCACTGGAGATAGGGAGCTCAACAATGACAAGGAGGGAATATCCTCAGGGATGTTTGCTGCTTCATTTCTGGGTTTGGCACACAGGGTGCAGCTACACATGCCCCCCACAGCCAAGTTGTTACTGTGCTGTCATTTAGTACCCACTTTAGGAAATACTAAATGATGGCACAGTAACAGCTGTTACTGCACCGTCCTGGCAGTGCAGTTATTTTAGCAGCTACATCACTGTAGCAATGCGCTATAACAAGGTAGCTCGTCACTACAGCAACATAGCATCAGCATCACGGTTTGTGCCCACTGATGCTACATCGTCATAGCAATGAGCTACGTCACGATAGTGCATCACTACAGCAATATAGCATTTTGTGTAGATGTGCCCAGAGAGCAGGAATTGCTGGATAGGGCATGCTTGTGAGCAGTGCTTCCTGGGAATACTAAGGGTGTATAGTGTAGATGTATTCAAAGATTTCAGGTGTTAACTGTGAGTCTCAAACATCAACAAGGCTGAGGGACTCCTGAGTAGCACAGAGAGACTCTCAGAAGCTCAGGCGCCTGGGCTGAAGAGAGGAGCAGCAGGATATGTTTTCACAGCAAAAGGGTCTTGTTTAGCTGAGGGGACATCTGAGGAAAAAGGAACCAGACTGTACAGGAAGCAAAAAGACTCTGTGTCAGAGGAGAAGCCACATGTGAGAGCCTCTTTCATTCCTTGGGGGGCTCTGTCCTAAGGCCAAATTATACTCAAAAGTGGAAGCAAAACTAAGGCCTGGAAATACATAATACAACATTTCTTGTTACTAAGTTGTCTAAATCTGAATATTTCTAGTGCTGGGTGCTTGGTGACTGGTTTTTAAAGGCCACTCAAAGGTACTGGGCTACTTACGGTGCAGCAACCCTGGTCCTGGGAGCCACGGGCAGTTGGGCTGCAAGGTCCCATATTCATATCAGAGCCCAGAAGTCTGCCAGAGAGGCCAAGGAAAAAGATGGTGTTGTAGCCTACTGAGACCCAGGGGAGCTTAGGCCTGAAGTGGCAAGACCTGGTCACAGAAGCCAGGTGAGTGTCTAGCTGAGAAATTATGACCAAGGCTGCATGATGGACAGAAAGCAGAGGGCTCCTGCTGATGAACAGAATTGCTATGGCAACATCTCTACCAAAAGAATATGCTCAGAGGCAGTAACCTCAATGCAGTCCACACACATCCCCAAGGGAGGTGGCTGCAGTACATCCTGGTCAATCAATCTCATAGGAAACATTAAATTAATTGTGAAATCTCTGAAAAAAACCCTTTTCACTTGGTTTAGCTGGCGTCATATGCCTAGAGAGAAAGCCTGGAAGAACACAATGCAGCTGAAGGAGCCGTCTCTGTGCAACAAAGACGGTGGAGGAGACTGGTGACCACAGGGCTTTACCTAGAGCCAGTTGACTTGACTTTGATCTCTTTCAGCAGACTTCTCTGTCTCCTTCCTCCTATCTTTCCTCAAGCCCCAGCTGTTATGCAGTGATTACATCTGAAGGGCAGGCTGCGTCTTTTAGAGGCATAAGGGGAGCCACCCAGAAGTGAGAAGAGAAAAAAAAATCATGTAGTTAAGAGCTCTCCCCTGCGACTGTGGCATTGCTTTCTTTGGCAGAACTGAGTCTCCTACCTTCTGAATGATCGTATTTCCTTTTCCCCTACTGCTGGCTATGGTCTGATCTGCATCTGCAATGGCAAAGTCTCCCAAGGCAGTCCATTCCTTTAGAGAAATAGAACCATTGGCAGCAAAATACCACATGGATGAGCTGCAAAGGGCATAGAGATGCTTTGCTTCTTTAATCTTCCTATACTAACTGGCATATTGCCATCCTCTTCATCAGGTTATTGGGTTAATTATATCTGGGTATTGCTTTCAGTGGGCATGTCTACACAAGACACTTGATGCACAGAAGACTAATTCTACTGTGCATTAGTGCAGTGGGCAAAACCTGTGTTAATAGCTAATGCACAGTAGATTTAGCCCAATGCGCATTAACGTCACCAAAAGCCTGTTCAACTGTGCTAATACACAGTAGTACTGATTATAACACATTAAGTTAGTACCTGTCATTACAGGTACTAAACTTAATGTGCCATAATTATGGTACATTAATGAACATGCAGATGCACCTAGTATGTCCGTTATTTGGAATAGGAAGTACCTGGAATGAGGTGCAGGGGCCTGACTTCTAAATGCTCCCCACTGTACTGCCTTACTCTAGAATGTGACCTTGAGGTCTTGTCTGCAGACAGTTTGCATGGAAAGAGGGAAGGGGTGGTCATACCAAGGACTAAGAAATACACAGATGATGAAATCCACCTTCACCCATACAGAAGACTGGTTCCAGTCACAGAATAAATATTACATTACTTTGTGGAGATACAGGAGAACATTTTAGAAATAAAAAAAATCATTCTTATCTAGGACAAATGTAAGTCAGTGCCCAGAACTGTTCTGGTGAAATTTGGATTTCAAATATTTATTTCTGATTTTCCCTGTTTCTCTTTCTATCTATATCTAATTTCCTTTCCTTCTTGAAAACCTTGCCATGGTAGAGGAGT